CTTGAATGTTGTAAAGACATCACATGACCATTAAAAAGTATGGTTTGGTTTTGAGAAAGATTTCAAAAAAAAAAAAATTAATATTAAGACGATAATATATTAAATTGTTTCTGACTTTGCAATTTAACTTATCAAACTCGTCTAGGTTATGGACTTCATTGGATTTTAATAACTTTATTTCTTTTAAAATTATATTTTACTTAATTATATAATAATAAAATCGAGCATAAACCAAAATATCAGCATGTTTATTTGAGATCGTAATAAATTAATAAAAAATAAACATTATGAAAACCAATTAAAAAATAATTAGATGTTAAAATATAAAATTAAAAAAATAACCACTAACAAAAATTAATATTAAAGATGAAATCATGAAAGAAAAAGAGGTGATTTACTGTTTTATGATCAGTGAAGCACTAGTCTCCCAAATACGTTAGTTGTATTAGTTAACTACATAAACATTTTTCCATTCCATCAAAATTTATATGCACCCATACGAAGTTTGAATGCTTTGTTTAATTACCTGTAGATTTTGGTATTCCCTTCAAGTTTTATGACTTTTTAACTACCGTCCGTAAAACAATAGTTAAAATACATTGACAATGATATCGAAGCATTTGGGACACGAGTGTCTTGTCCTAGCCAGGCACAGGTTATAGCCTTGGCAATTGCAAGTGTGAGTTCATGGTGCTCCCATTCATCAGCTGAATGTTAAAAAAAAAAAAAAAAAAAAAAACCTCGAGCTAGAAGATGGTCTCCTGCTCCAGCTATGAGGGTTTGGTGGTAGGCCAGGGTTCGCACCACCGACGATAATTGTCCTCCCTCTTTCCCCTTTGATCCCAGTGACCCACCACTCCCGAGTTTTCATGGACCCAAGATTCTTCTTGCCTTGCTCCCTTGTCATGCATAGACTTTTGAAGGGGTTTGCCCCCACATCATCTATTTTAAATCATCTCAGTATCAGTATAATCATGAATTTTACCAGTTAATTTGAGTAAATTTAGGTTGTTAAATGATTTCATGATTTAGATTCATCTAATTTAATATATTGTCCTTTAATATTTAAAAAAATAGGTATTATTAAATTTTTTTAATTAAACTATATTTTTATTGATTATTCTAGTTATTTTTAAATTTGTGAAGATAATTCAGTTAACTTCTGAAACAATACGTTAAAATCTTGGCAATTAAAACATATTGTTTTAATTAAAAGAAAATAAAATAACAACATGATCATAATTGACGGCTTTGATTTCAATTTGCTCGTGATTGCTATCAGTTAGGCTTGGCACTTTCTTTCAACAGTGCCGCCGTTTTGTTTTCTCTATTTTTTTATTTATTAGAAAATGGTTAACTTTAGAAAAAGAGATTTAAAAGGGTGTTAAGAACACTAAAAAAAAATGTGAATAGGCAGACCAATTTCTTTCCTTGTTCCGTCCACCGTCAAGCAACATAGAACATGGGTCATGACATAGAGGCTGGTTCCATTCTGGATTCTGAGTTTATGATGCATTTAATTATCATGGGATTTGATAATTTTACTATTTTAAAAAATATTTAAAGTTGTTTTTTACGGATAATATTTTCTCAAGATTAATTTGTTATTCTATAATTATACGAGGGTATCTCAAGTTTTTATATTTTTTTACACAAAATAATAATAATAATAATAATTTTAGTCTAGGGGCTTTTTGGATATTTTCTTTTGGCACGCACAATGCAACTATTTTATTGCCATTGGAATGAAAAAAATCATAGGATTGACTTTAAAGGAATATTGATGATTTCACATTGGCTTTTTTGCAATTATCACGTGTTCTCAAAAGTAATTTCATAATTTGTTTAATAAATAAATAATAAAAAATGATAAAGTTATTGGCATATTTGTAGAATACACCAACAAGGGAGTCATTCGTTATCTTTGGACGGTGTATGTAGTGTATATTGAGTAAAAATTAGATTCCTCAGTGTTTTTTTATTAGCAACAGCAAGGGCTATCTTATCAGGCGGATAATATGGCTTAATTTTCAATAGTTTGGCAGCTAGTGACTCGTTTTTTTCTTCTATTTTGTTTTTGGTTTTTATGTCTATCCTTGCAATATTTCACAGTAACATTTTAATTTGTTTTTATTTAGGATTTTATCCATACTATTTTAATTATTATTTTTTATTTGAATTAGTTTATAAAAATAATTTTTTTTATTTTATCATTTATCAAATTTTTTTATTTTAAATTTAGTTATTATTCTTTTTACTGCTATTTATTTTATTTGGGATGGTTTTTATAATTGATTTTTTATTTTACAATTTCATCATTCTTGATTATATTTACATATTAAATTTTACTCTTATTTGTTTGGTTGCTACTTTTTAACAATGATAAATTTTTTAAATTGATTTTTTTTATTTCATATTTCAACATTACATTAAGCTTCTTAATTGATCTATGGTTTAGGATTTAACGGGTTGTCACGCAAATCCCCTCACTCTACATTGATTTTGAAAACAAAATCTAGACTATCATTTACAGAATCAGAACACTCTCCACCTCTCAAGAAATTCCTTGTCATCAAATTTGTTTTCTTTGTCTTTTCAAATTTAAGGAATTAACCCAGATTTAGGAAATTCACCCGAGTTTATTTGTTATTGTTTTTTCTTTTTTTAAAAAAAAATTATATTTTTTTAATTTCATCATTTAATATTTAATTTAATTGGATATTGAACTCTATGATTTTTTTTTATATATATATAGGGTTTTTCATTGATTTTAAAAGGATCCCTAGTCTTTTTATATTTCATTCTTTGTTGGATTTAGTTTTTTTAAAATATTTTTTAATTAAAATAAATTAATTACTTAATATTTATTTTAAAAAATATAGTGTCCAATGTATCATCACCTTCATTTATTTTAATATTTTCTCATGGACAGGAAAAAATATCCGACCCGAAGCATAACATCAGGGAAAATTTTGTTTTTTTAACTCATCTTTTTTTTATTTTTATCTTTTATCATTTGATTTATTTGGAGATCGAGTTTCTTCTTCTTTTTTGTTTATATATGGTTTTTTTATCTATTTTAAAAATAACATAGGTTATATTAGATCTTTTTATCCGTCATGAGAAAGTTATAGATGCAAGTTAAAGAATTGTCCAGTTGTCCATTAATAGAGATGAAGAAAATAGAATTAGAGGAACACAAGGAGAGTGATCATGGATTCATTTCTGTTTTTGAGAAATTGTTGTAAGCATATTATGTAATTTCTTAATCGAGATAGGTATCTTGAAGATTTTTGTGTTCCTGTTTGTGACGAGATATATATGAACTTGTAAGATCGATCAATTTATAATGTTTATTTTAATGATGATTATGTTGTTAAAGATATCATATATAATGGTAATAATGATGATGATGATATCGTTAATAATGTCATCGTTGAAAAATTAGATGCTAGGTACAAAGAAAACATAGAAGGTGCTCGACAAGACAAGATTATTCATTTAAAATACGTTGGTCATTTTGATTAAAAATTTATTGTTATAACAAATATAGACGTGTTTAATAGTTATGCGGATATAACATGTATTGATAAAGTAGGTTTGAGGTTTGCAGTTTATCACTTTGAAAACCAGTGAAAGAGAAATAATTTATTAATTGTGGGTTTTATGCAAATTTAAGATGAAGAGATTGAAGTCAATGTCTAAAATTATTATAAACTCAAAGTAAAAAAAAAAAAAAGGTTGAAGAGCTTAGATTGTACATCCATAATATAGAGGCAATAACAATCCGAATTCAAGGAAGAGTTTTTTCAACTTATAAAAACTGACACAGTGGATTTTTAGAAAAAATAGTCTTTCTTAATTATTTTTATTTTCTCCTATTTAGTTTAGGAAATGAAATAATATGCTTAATAATTTTATTTCAATTTTATTTTTATAATTTTCTCATGACTTTTATTACCTTTTATTTTAATTTTTTTGATTTCTAATTTGTTTATGTTGATTTTTGGGTTAATTTAAGGACAAATAAAAAAACCTGATTGTGGAACCTCCATTGAGACAGCCCACATAAAGTAGTACTATCTAGAGATCCATGATAGAGTGATCTATATAAAATTGTATTAGAGATTCACGATTGAATGATTTAGACAAAGGTTTTAGAGGTATATAATAGAATGATTTACCTATAAAATGATGTTTGTAATAGAAAATTATTGACTAAAATCTAAATTTGATGTCAAATTCCTTTCAATTGAAAGAGATTGATGTATAAACTTTTATAAGAAAGTAAATATTTTTCTAACTAATTTTATTTTTTTCTATTCAATATTATTATGTTTTTCTATTTTTTTCTATCTATAGATAATAATTTTTTTATCTAGTATTATTATATATTTTTAGTTTTTTATATATAAAAAGGTGTAATAGTGATTGAGAATTGCATAATACAAATTAAATATTTGTATGTCCTGTACATCCCTAATTTTTGAGAATTTTTATTTATAACAATTCCGTTAGCGTTCATTCCATCTCCGTTAAAATTAATTAATTCTCTCAACTTGTTTTAGAAATTTTCAAATTCCTTTTCTTAATCTTACCCCCTCGCAGCTCCAAATTAATTATAATAATCAAAAAGAGCAAATTGCGAAGGAGACAGAGATGGCTGCTGACTGTGCAGGCCAGCAGCATCGTTTCCTCTCTCCTTCCCAAATAACAGCACGTGGCACGAGTGCTAAATGTCCGCGTTCTGTCTGATAACACCGGTGGCTATTTTCTAATCACTTACGGTTTTAACTTTTACGCAGCCTTCCACCAAATTTAAATCGCCAAGCTACCGCTAATCACCATTATCACAGACCAATGGAATCCAATTCAAGTGCTGGGACCCACCAAAAGAGCCCACTCATCTCCTTTTCTATGGGTCATATTAGAAACACCGAGCATCACAGCTCGTAATTTTACACCTTTCTCACTGCACACTCCATGTTCTGTATAAAAGTGATAGAGGCACTTCTTACGTCCCAAAACTGAAGCCGCTGAAGTGGAAGCTTCCCTTCTCTCTTTGCTTCTCTCTCAAAGAAACTCTATAAATTCTTGAAGGCCCAGCTTTCTCTCGCTATCTCTCAGAAAAGAAACAATCCTTTTTCTTTGTTATCCCTCTCTCTCTCTCTCTCTCTCTCCTTTTTCCGCTGATGGGGTTTCCAGTTGGGTATTCAGAGGTTTTCTTACCAAAGTTGTTTGTACACACACTTTCCTTTCTGGGTTTTATCAGAAACCTCATTTTGTGTCTTTTCAACTATCTGGGGTTGTCAGGTTTTCTTGAAACAGACAATATTTGGCCCGACAACCCGATCCGAATGTCCTGCTACCCGCCTCTATCAGCTGCCTTTATCCGGGAAATCTTGCCTGTCATCAAGTTCGAGGATTTGGTTACCGGGGATGGTGGTTGTTGTGACTTGGCGGGGCGTTGTGCTGTTTGGTTGTATGAGTTTGTGGGAGAGGATGAGATCAGGTGGTTGAAGAATTGTAAGCACATTTTTCACAGGGCTTGTTTGGACCGTTGGATGGATCATGATAGGAAAACGTGTCCACTTTGCAGGAACTCGTTTGTGCCTGATGAGATGCAGGAAGAGTTTAATCAACGGTTATGGGCTGCAAGTAATGATGTTAGTGATTTTTACTGTGAGTAGAGTTCACTATCAGTTTTCCATGGAGCTTTTTTTTTTTTTTTGGTGGTTGTATCAATTGTACATATACGTGGAAATTTGGCAATTCAGCCAAATATAAGATTTTTTTTCTTTACTTACTATGAATTTCTGGTACATTAGCCTTAATTCGTATGATTAAGAATTGATGTAGCCCTAAACTAGGGCTTGGCCTAGCGATGGAAGGGGCTTGTCTCCTTCCACTGTACCTGGATTTGAGCCCTAGTGTGCACGCTTGTCATTCCCGCGGTGCCTTACATGCCTACTACGTTTACAGGATATTTAATGGGCCGTAGGGATTAGTCGTGCTGCGCGCAAATTGGCCCGGACATTCCAGGTAAATCAAAAAAAAAAAAAATTGATCTGGATCCATCAAATTTTGTCCTCTTAAGCTTATATGTTAAAAACAAAATTGTGAATTTTGTTTTGTTTTATATAGTTTTTGTTTTATTTTAAATCTCAGTTCATTTCATATTTTTTTTTGGATAAATTTTGGTTGAATGTTTTGATTTAATTTTATATATTTTATCAATTTTATTTTATATATTTTGTTCTAAGCTTTAAAAACTTTTGAATTAAATTAAATTAAATTTGATTAATTAAACCATCTAAATATAAATTATATTTTTTTTATTTTTAATAACAATAATATTAAAAATAATTATTACTGTTTTTTTAATAATAATATTAATTTTTTAAAATTAGATTTATTATTAATATGTATAGTTTATATTTTTTTTTATGTTTATATTTTTTAAGATTTTAAATATAATAAGAGATGTTTTAGATTTTATTAGTTTATATAATATTAATTTATTAAATTGATCAATTAAATGAATAGATTTATAAAAAATATAATTTTTTTTATGAAAAGGATATAAATTAGGAGATTATTAAAATATTTTTATTTATTTTAACTTTAAAAAATAAAAAGATATGTTTTGATGATGAGAATGAGATTGATGAAAATAATGAACTATTAGAATGTTTAACTGGTAATTTTTTTTAAATATTATCACAAAATCAAGATTTTTATTTTTATTTTAATAATAAAGATTATATTTGGTTTATGATTTTTATGTTAAAACATTTTAATATTTTATTTAAATTGAATTACTTTAAGTTAAAATTTTATTTAATTTTAAATATTTAATTTTTTTTTAAATTTCAAATTATATTTGTTCGATATCATGGTTGTATTGTATAATTTATAATTAATTTATATTACATTTGAATTATATTTGTTAAATTATATAATATAATATAATATAACCTTGAAATAGCATGCTAAAACATTTTGAAATCAAAATATTTCGTTCTAATTAAAAAAATGAAATATTTATGGAAATGGAATTGATAATTTGGTTAAAAATGGCCATGAACTTTTGGGTGTTGGTGCCTGCATGTGTAACATATAGAAAGGGGCCGGCTGCAAGGAAGCTGGTGGGGCTGCGCTGATATTTTTGTCTGGTGATGATAATGAAATTGGATTCTGTGCTCGAGCCATCTCTATCTCAGGCTCGGGGCTCTGTTGCTGTGCCAGCAAACAGAGCTTGCGTAAACTGAAAGGTCTCAAATCTACCTACTCGGTTCGGGTCAATATTCATGGTAAATTATATTTCATGGGTATAGAAAGGAAAATAATTAGGACTTGGGAAAATAGTTAGGAATTGGGAGTCTCTCCAAGGTGAAAGCAGTAGCAGCACAGATGCGACCATGATCGCAGATCAGACTTCTTCGATGTCTCCAATTATTCACGCTCAAGCTACTTTGGCGTTTAAATATGCAGTGAACAGTGCTGGTTTCATGTTTCAGCAAAAGCAGCTGCTGCTGGTGTTTTGCTAAGAAAGATGTTCTATAAGATCACCATTCCGAAATTCCAGAAGCTCTCGCTAACAATGACTCACAGCATATCAGAATGAATGGTGACGAAAATGATAGTACCATAACTGCATTTCGAGCACCCTTCAAACTGGCCCTCCGTGTTCAGTGGGTTCCAACGCACAGGACATTGATACAGTGCGAATGCCAAGTATAATTGATAAGACTTTGTACGGAGACTCTACCTATCTCTATTTTCTTGTCTTCATTAAAAAAAACAAAAAACAACTTAAGGAAGCAAGGCCTAGCATAAACCTAAATACGCAATGAATTGAAATTGATGTAGTGTAGTGATATAAGCATTCATTGAAGTTCTAGCCCTCATGAATTAAATAACAGAAAGCATAATGTAAAAGCTTTTGCGACTAGTAAATTCAACTAGAAGAGTCCAGATCCTTCTTTCTTACTCTAAATTCAACACCGAACAAGCAACTTTTTTTAACCAACACTGAACAAGTATGAACAGTATCAATAAAGGTATTTGAAGTTCACGACTAAACTTCTCTAGCAATATATCCTCAGGCAAAATGCTCATGAAGTTATATGATAGTGGACAATCCCAGAGACAGACTGAACCAATAAGTCGTATCTGTATAATGAGCATAAAAGAAACTGGAAGGCTCATAATCACGGGAGATTGGAAAGAACATTCAATTTTCACTGGCATGCGATTGCATTTCAACAAGATCAACCGGATCATCTTGAATAGCCAGGTGGAGGATATGCATGAGGTTGTGGATAGGCAGAAGCGGGGTATCCAACAGGAGGAGGGTAACCTGGAGCTTGTGGGGCTGGAGGATAGCCATAAGGCTGCCCATATGTTTGTTGAGGTGCATAGCCGGCATGTGGAGGAATTGGCTGATCAATACGTGACATCTGCCGCGCTGGAGGTACAGCCATAGCAGGCTGTGGCCCAAAATTACCATCTCTCTTATCCATTTCAATCTTACTCTGGCTCTGCATTATTAACCAGGAATGTGCAGAACATCATGATTGTAAAATGATTCTTTTAACCCACCAAGGAATTAGATGAGTAAGATTCGTCAATTTAGATCCATTACAAGCAACTGGCTGAAAAATTTGAACATCGAGATTTTTGTAATGTGTAACTTTTTGAATCCCGCTTTTTATAGAAGAGAAGCTTATAGATTATACAAATAAATTATTTCAACAATCCCAGACGATCTAAAGCAGACCCAAGAAGCAGTAATTTGCTAATCCTTTGCGCATGCACTTGAAGTTTCATTTATAGCATACCTGAATACATGCGCAAACCCTGCCACAGAAAAGTATTAGTTCAAGGTTTTAATCGCTCTCAAGTCTCAACTGCTGGAATAAGTGCACTAATTCCTTACGTGCAATTAACCAAATCAGACAAACAGCTCAACAACTGAGCAATGTCTCCAATTTCATCATTTCCAGTTACGCAAGCAACTAACGAACATATACATGCCTATTGCTGCAGGCAGAGCATAAATCCCTACAAAAGTATGGCATAGTTGGGATCACTGTCTAAAAAATGCAAGATCTACGCATGCCAAAACATTATCCTTGAGAGAGAGAGATAGACAGTACAATAATGCAGGTGTCACACTGTGTGGTTTGTATAATGAACTCATCTTGCAATAGGAAGCGAGTTGAGGAAACTGAATTACAAAAGCAGCAGACCACCTGAAGAAAATAGGAATCAGGAAGAGAAATTAACAATTAAAGATACTGAATGTCCAAAGCATGTTAAAAACTCTGATAATGCATGAAGTCCAAACAAGAGATTCTATGCCTGTCCATCTGGTCGTTGAAAAGAATACAGGGAAAACACCATGTTAAGATGAAAAAAGAAGAGATTAATGTCAAACCTCGGTGCAAAGGCAAAGTTCAGGGCATTGACTTTCTCCACACTCCCCACTACTTGGAAGATTGCCAGCACAGCAGGCATACCTACAGGAGAGCAGATGTGAAAATTATGCTAGTTCTCACTTTCATTCCTTGTCTGAGTAGAAACCCAAGGAGAAAGCAACGGCAATTACCTTGGCATGTCGTTGTAAAGAGCTCCTTTGCGCAGCATGTATGAGACACATGGTCCCCTATAAAAAATAAAACAAAAGGATTTTTGATCTGATAAATATGCTTACTTCCTTCACATAATTCAAAATTTTAAAATGCAGCAAAAGCAACAGTGGCGATCACATTGTACCTTAAGAGTAAGCGTGAGTCGGTGACAATTCAAGTTTAGTTTCCTTAGTGGAAAAGTGGGGTTTTTCCGGTGAGTGTTCTTATACAATAAAGAAGTTTATTTTCTCAAGTGAGGAAAGATTTTCTGTTCATATCAGATGCTCAGTTTCTTGGAGTTGAAAGCTTCATAAACACCAAATCCCACTAGCTCAAAAATTAAATAACAAAATAAAATAGACTTGTAACCATATCCATTTGAAAACATCCTTTGATCGCGCTCCCAATCTTATAACATGCATGCAAACAATAATGCCTTGAGTGTCTGCTTGATTTTAGTAGCAAACAATTAAAGTCTTTGGATATTAAGTTGTAGCCTGTGTTTCCTAAACAGTTTATGTCGGTGTATATGATAACTTCTGATTTTAGTTTGAAAAAACATTAAAAAAATATTTTTTTATTATTTAAAAATTATTTTTAATATTAGTACATTAAAATCATCATCAAAAAATAAAAAATAAATTTTAAAAAATAAAAAAATAAAATAAATTTTAACCACCATACTACTACGATACCCAACAAAACCTTATCAAGAACTAGAACTTGAATCATTATAAATTTATAAACAAAAATGCTAAATATCATATTCCTAATTATAGAAAATATGGAAAACAAACTCATTAAAAAAAAAACCATTTAGTTACCCCACAATCATAAATTCTTTCAGACAGATTAAAAAGAAATATTGGGATCCAAATGCAGTAGTATCAGAGCAACAATGCATTAAAAAAATGAGAGAAGTAACCAAAATAATATGTAAGAAAAAATCGGGACAATTTTCTTTTCTAGCTTGTATCACTTGAATATATTATACACTAGTATCAATATGTAAGGGATTTTCTGTTTAAATTAATGAATTTACTTTATTTAATTAAATTTTAGCACAATTTTCTCTGCAGAGGAGCACTACTCGAAATTTTATCATGCATTAGAAAAATACATGTAAACACAACAATGATCCATTTTCACATAAAAGCAGCCTCTGGCTTGCCATCCACGGTTATCACAATATATAACAACTAGGTGGCCTGAAGCATACCATACCGCTCCAACAATTGTTACCAATATCCTGCCCTGTGTATCATATTTTATATGGAGATATGCGTGTATATTGGAGGAAATGGATATGTGCACAATATAAACTAAAACAAGATAATTAATAATACATCTCAACAGATTTAAATTTAATCATTTTCACATACATAAAATTTATTTACAAAACACTTGCATATTCAAAAATTTTACATAAATAAAACTATATAAACTTTCAAATGAAAAATCATGTGATGATGGATGA